TTAAAAACTTTTTTGCTACAAACAAAAGCATCAAAAAAGTGAAAAGATTCAGACAACTGACTTGTTTGGAAAAAAAAAAAAAAAAAAAAAAAAAAAAAAAAAAAAAAAAAAAAAAAAGTGAAAAGATGGCCGGGCATGCTAGCTCATGCCTGTAATCCTAGCACTCTGGAGGCCAAGGTGGGTAGATAATTTGAGCTCAGGTGTTCAAGACCGGCCTGAGCAAGAGCAAGACCCTTTCTCTACTAAAAAAACAGAAAGAAATTAGCTGGACAACTAAAAAAAAAAATTTATATATATATTAGCTGGGCATGGTGGCACATGCCTATAGTCCCAGCTACTCAGGAGGCTGAGGCAGGAGGATCACTTCAGCCCAGGAGTTTGAGGTTGCTATGAGCTAGGCTGACACCATGGCACTGTAGCCCGGGTAACAGAGTGAGACTCTGTCTCAAAAAAAACAAATAAAAAAGAAAGAAAGAAAGAAAGTGAAAAGACAATCCATAGTATGGGAAAAAATATTTACAAATCATTTATTTGATAAGAGAATTATATCCAAAATATATAAAGAACTCTTACAACTCAGTAAATAAAGATAAATAACCCAATTCAAAAATGAGCAAAGGGGCCAGGCAAGGTGGCTCACACTTGTGTAATCCTAGCACTCTGGGAGGCTGAGGTAGGAGGATTGCTTGAAGCCAGGAGATCAAGACCGGCCTGAGCCAGAGTGAAACCTCGTCTCTACAAAAAATAATTAGCCAGAAAAATTAGCCAGGTGTAAAATGATGCACACCTGTAGTCCCAGCTACTCAGGAGGCTAAGGCAGGAGGATCCCTTAAGCCTAGGAGTTTAAGGTTGCAATGAGCTTATGATGATGCCACGGCATTCTAGCCCCAGCAACAGAGTAAGAGTCTGTCTCAAAAAAAAAAAAAAAAAAAGCAAAGGATTTAATAAACATTTCTCCAAAGAGATGATATATAAATGGCCAGTAAGCAGTAAGTACATGAAAAGATTCTCAACATCATTAGTCATCAGAGGAATGCAAATCAAAAACCACAATGAGATAACATTTCACACCAAATATGGGACAGCTGAAACCAAAAAGATGGACAATAACAAGTGATGGTGAGGATGTGGAGAAATTGCAACCCTTCAACATTACTGGTGAGAATGTAAAATGTTGCCTCTACTTTGTAAAACTGTTTGGCAGTTCCTCAAAAAGTTAAACATAAAGTTATTAATATTATATCACCCAGTAATTCCATTTCTAAGTATATACCCCCCAAAATGAAAATATATGTCCATACAAAAACTTGAATACAAATGTTCATAGCATTATTCACGATAGCCACAAAATGGAAACAACCCACATGTCCATTACCTGATGAATGGATAAATAAAATGTGGTATATTCATATAATAGAATATTATTTGGCCATAAAAAGGAAAAAAGTAATGATATATACAATATTAATGAACCTTGAAAACATTATGTTAATTTAATTTCTAAGTCTGCAAAGCCAAAGCCAAGGTTCTGAACCACAAGGTTTTCACTAAATTTGAACCACTCTCTAAGACATAACCTGAAATCTCCATTTCAAGTAGTAAATTGCAGCAGAGATTAAAGGTACTGATATGGGATATCTAATAGAAATGTTCAGATGGGCATTTGGATATATGGCTCTGGAGTTCCGAAAAGAAGTTTCCTGACTTGAGAACCTATTAGCTCAGGCTCTAGAAGAGAATGAGACAAAAGCACAGAGCCTGAGAAGACAGTGAAGTATCACACCAGCCTTTACAGAAAAGAGCCAACCACTGAAACTGAGAATACTAGTAGTTAAGGGGAAACCAAGAGAAAGCAGTGTCTGTCAACACTGTATGTCCTGAAAAAATTTATTTAAAAAAAGGAAAAACAAAAATAAAGAGAAAGCAGTGTCAAAAAAGTTGACAAAAGAATTAACAGCATATACTTATAGATAAATCAACTGGATTAAGAATCTATCAAGGCCGGGCACAGTGGCTCACGCCTGTAATCCTAGCACTCTGGGAGGCAGAGGAGGGTGGACTGCTCGAGGTCAGGAGTTCCAAACCAGCCTGAGCGAGACCCTGTCTCTACCATAAATACAAAGAAATTAAATTAATAAATTAATCTAACATATATAGAAAAAAATTAGCCAGGCACGGTGGCACATTCCTGTAGTCCCAGCTACTTGGGAGGCTGAGGCAGTAGGATTGCTTGAGCCCAGGAGATTGAGATTGCTGTGAGCTAGGCCGACTCCACGGCACTCACTCTAGCCTGGGCAACAAAGTGAGACTCTGTCTCAAAAAAAAAAAAAAAAGAATCTATCAATATCCATTGTTTTTCACTCATATCCTTGGTGAGGACAAAGCCAACTGCTATGGTTGGGCATTAATAAAAAGTAAGGAAATGGAGGCAGTGCATGTAAACTGCTTTCAAGAAAAAAGGATTATGTTGGGTTTTGTCATTACTGTTTTGTTTTTAAAGGTCTAGAGACTTTGGCTGGTATGGTGACTAATGCCTATCATCCCAGAGCTTTGAGAGGGCAAGGTGAGGATTGCTTGAGGCCAGAAGTTCAAGACCAGCCTGGGTAATATACTGAGGCCCTGTCTCTACAAAAAAAATTTTTTTAATTAGCTGGGTGTGGTGTCACATGCCTGTAGGGAAGCTATGGCAGGAGTATTGCTTGATCTCAGAAGTTTGAGGCTACAGTGAGCTATGATCCTGCCACTGCACTCCAGCCTGGGCAACAAAATGAGACTTTGTCTCAAAAAAAAAAAAAAAAAAATCAAGAGACTGAGCCTCACGGGAAGAAGCCAAGAAGAGGGAGATACACAGGGCAATAGGGGAAATTGGCCTGATCAATGTCCTAGAGGACAAACGGATAAATTAGAGAGAGAACTAGGTTGCAGGATTAACCTTGCACAAACCACATTAAAAATCAAAATATATGTCAAGATGTTAATGTAGTAATGTCTTATTTACCTTCATCTTTGGGGAAGAGTTCTACATAACTGAATTTTCCAGACACTTGAATTTTTTTTTTTTTAATTTTAGCTATTCCCTTTGAACTTGTCCACCACTGTAATCACACAGTTCTCTGCCTTTGTTAACAGAGTATGCTTTCCTGGATTACTTGAGGTTATTGTGACTATGATTACTGTACTAGGAAGTAATATAGCTGAGTCTGCATGTTAATTTTTCAAATCTTTGAATGCCCTACTGTTGTGAGCTGCCATTTCCTCTGTTACATTTCCCCTGATAACCTTTTTCATTTGTGCTTCCAAGAGATTCCAGTTTGAAAATTATATAATCATTAAATACCCTAAATAAGGGATCACTGGGCTCTGAATGAAAGCACGGAAGTGCATGATTTATGACAACTTTCCCCAGTGCTAAGAAGTCTGTTTTCACTTTTCAATTTGAGACTAGGTTTCAAAGAGCTGAGGATATTAGAAGACTGATCTCTGACTACCTGGAATTTTACTTTATCTTGCTTCTATAAATTATATCAAAATATCCCTGCCAAGTAACTGATAATCTTATATGGTTACTCTAATACCACACACACACAAAAAAAAAGATAATGCTGATTCCAAAAGTGAGCCTAGACATCTCACAGAAACCAAATATACTTTCCTGTCCTACAGGAATACTAGCAATAAAAAGTTATAATCTTCTACACTTTGTTTCACATATATGAATATTATTCATGATAAATATATATCCTTCACAAAATCTTGGCTATAATCCCTTCCAAGTTTCACGTAAATTTCACAAGTACAAACAGTGCAAGGGCTAAAAAGGACTACAATTAAGCACAGAGTCAACTAAAACTTAAAAATTCATCCCTTTACTTCCAATACCACAGGATGTCCTGATTTCATTCATTCTTAAGATTCTGAATAGTTATTACCGCCCCTATACTTTACGTATCCAAAAACAAAAACAAAACTTTTGTTGCTTCTCCAGGACTGCCTTCTTGTCCCTTAAGTTTTTCATTCATATTAATGGAAATCAACAAATGTAGATTATCTCGTCAAGACAGAGAGCATTGCAGTGGCTTCATAAACTCAAACTGAAACATCCGAGGGGCGCCGTGGCTCACGCCAGTAATTCTAGCACTCTGGGAGGCTGAGGAGGGTGGATCGTTTGAGCTCAGGAGTTTGAGACCAGCCTGAGCAAGAGCGAGACCCCGTCTCTACTAAAATAGAAAGAAATTAGCTAGACAACTAAAAATATATAGAAAAAATTAGCCGGGCATAGTGGCGCATGCCTGTAGCCCGAGATACTCAGGAGGCTGAGGCAGAGGATCGCTTGAACCCAGGAGTTTGAGGTTGCTGTGAGCTAGGCTGATGCCACAGCACTCTAGCCCAGGCAACAGAGTGAGACTGTGTCAAAAAAAAAAAAAAAAATGAAACATCTCCAGGCTCAGGTTTACTACAGTATAAGAGGCAATAGTAGGCAATAGTATCTGTACCTTTGCCCTGCTATTCAAATTACTTACTTACATCCCCATTTCTAAGTCACAAACACCCTGAGGGCAAGAATCTTTACTGATTCAGTTTCTCCTATCTCTCCACGAATAAGTGTTGAGCACCTCGCATTTGCTAGCTTCTGGAGAGAGCTGAGTTAAACAGCTCCTGCCCTCATAGTCTATCAGAGAAGACAGGCTTGTAAACAAATTATGAAACTACAACACAGGCAAAAACAGAAGTGACTACAGAATTAAATCAGAGGAAGAACTAACTCTCCAACTGTAGAGGAAGTTCAGGGATACCTTTCTTGTATTCCCTCAATAAATACCTGTTGAATGAACAAATGAATGAATTAAATGTTGGGTAAGGTCCCAGGTTCAAGTGAGATGTATCAGTTGCTTCTGCAAGCCAGTGGATAAACTTTACCTTTCAACAACTGCAGGAATGCAGTCTCCAGAGACTCACCCCTAGCTCAACCCCAAGAAATCACCTTGGAGAAAATACCTTACCTGTACTGCCAGCCTTTTGCGCCGCCACCGCGGCCACTGCTGCTGCTGCTGCTGCTGATTCCGGCCCTACAGCTGCTGTTGCTGCTGTTCTTGTTGTTCGGGGTCACAGCTGTGGCCAGGCCCTCCAGCTTTCCTTCGCTTTCGGAGACTTTCATTGTTGACACTGGTTCACCCCCCTGCATCTTAACTCCAAAGTCCATTTGCCCTTCTTGGGCGGGAGAGAACAACTCTGTAGCTTTATAGGTGATTTTTTTTTTTTAAGATTTGATCTGAATGTGATCCCAGTTGCTAAATCAGACGGCGGCTGGAGTGGGAAACGTCAAATGGTCCAAGAAAGAAATGCATTCGCACTGAAGTTAAACTTTTAAGAGGGCAGGGGTAGCGAGAAGGACAGGTATCGTTTAGATATAGGTTTCGCCTTCCTGGCAAAAGGAAGGAGGAAAAATCATCCGGTTAGAGGGCTTGGTGACATCTCAAAGGAGAAGCAGAAGAAGCGTGGGGAGGTCGTACATTCTCTAACCAGGAGGGCTGGGCGAAGGACGGAGGACCACGGACAGGGAACCCGCGGCCGGACCTCGGGGCTGAGGTACTGACCCGCCGCGTTCCCTCTTCTTTTCCTCCAGCTGATGCTCAGGGGGAGGGTCGCGTCCAGCCCGCTCGGCGGTTCCCGCCGCAGCCCCCGAGACAGAGCCAGGGCCGGCGCACGCAACCCGGGAGAAGGATCGGGGAAGGAGGCCGCCGGGGGCGGGACGCCGGCTCCCAGGGCCGCCTCTCCTTGGGCCAGAGGCGAGCCGCTCGGGGCGACTTCCTCCAGCGCCCCCGGCCCTGGGCCCTCGACTGGGTTCCCAGGAGCAGGCTCTCTTCCTCTCTCCAGACTCAAGAGTGAATGCCAGGCCCGCGGCCGCCGCCCCACCCACAGCTACACAGCGGGTCACCCACCGCCTGTTCTTTCCCCACCTTCCCTTCCGGAGTAGCGTGAGCTCACTTCCCCCAAGCCGAAGCGCCTGGCGCCATCTTGGATTAGGGCAGGTGGGCCCTGAAGCGGGCGGAGCCTTCGAGGGTGGCGGTAACCGGCTGGTAACCCGGCGGCAGACGGGGAAAGAAAGGGAGCGGGAGGCGGGGCGGGAGCTCGAAGAACAGGGATGGCGCCGGAGGGAGAGACAAAGGAGCGAGCTGCCCGAGATAGTGCCCTTGGGGTGTGTGACTTCCGGCAATTCCTAACCAGGTCCTTGCTTTCCATTTTAGGGCCCATTCCACGCATTTTAGGAAGTAAGCTTAGAATAATAAGAAACTATAAAAGCAAAACACACCTCTTCGTTTTAGTCACTTTACCAAAAAAATACATGACACTGGAGTAAGGCAAAGCATTGTTATAAATGAAAAAGAAGTTGTCATGGACATTAGAGAGCTCTCAAAATCAGAGCTAGGTACTCTTTCTAACCTCAAACTTTCACCCTGCCTTAGACCTTGGTTTTGCATTTGTAAAATAAGTGTGGTTGCCTAGGAGATTTCTCAAGTCCCTTCTAATTGTAAATTCTACTTTCTAAAAACATGACATGTGAATTGAATGTATACTCTATGCAAAACATTAGGACATGACAAGGAAGTATTACTCAAAACTGAAAAAGTAAACAAAGTAGTGAAATAAATACAGACATACATATAATTAAGGCTATGAAGAAAATAAAAGAGGATAACATAGAAAATAAATGGGATGTGTGGAGAATCTACTTTAGGAGAACAATCTAGAAGAGCCATATAAGAGGAAATGACATTTAAAGTGAGACATGAAGAAAGATGAAGGAGCTAAGGAAAAGCAATTTTTACTTATTCTAGTGTTCAGGTTCATAAAACAATTCCCCAAAGTATGGTGCTTTGGCATGCTGAGTACTTTGAACTAAAGGATGTTGGACGAACTCAGAAGCAGTCTCAGAACCTCCTGTCTCTCACACCTCATTCTCCCCTGCAGCGAGCCATAGAAACCTGAATTCCTCTTCCTCAAGGTGAGTCATAGAAACCCTTTTTTCCCAATGTCAGGTATAAAAACTAGAATTATTACTCTAACTTCCCCCTGCCTTTCCATCTGGGAGCTGGCTATAAAGTTCCCTGACCTAATAGTAGGTCATAAGACCAACATTCCAGAGGGGCCTTGCCTCAGACTGGGAGGAAGGAATGCTTCAAGAGTCTAAGAAGAATGAACAGACAGGCCTTCCTAGTATCCCCACCTCAGCCTACCAGCATTAGATTTCCCTTTGTTGGCTGCACGAGTAGCACTCCAGGAGGCCAAGGTGGGAGGATCACTTGAGCTCAGGAATTTGAGACCAGTCTGAGCAAGAGTGAGACCCTATCTCTACTAAAAATAGAAAAATCAGCCAGGCATGGTGGCATGCACCTGTAGTCCCAGCTACTCTGAGGCTGAGGCAGGAGGATTGCTTGAGCCCAGGAGTTTGTCAGCCTAGTTGCTGTGAACTAGGCTGACACGATGGCACTCAACTCAGGACAACGGAGTGAGACTCTGTCTCAAAAGAAAAAAAAAAATGGAACAAAGAGCCTTGGCCTCCCCAAAGTACTGGTATGACAGGCATGAGCCACCATGCCCAGCCTGAAAATATTATTTATTTTTTTTTCTATATATATTAGTTAGCCAATTAATTTCTTCTATTTATAGTAGAGACGGGGTCTCTCTCTCTTGCTCAGGCTGGTTTCGAACTCCTGACCTCGAGTAATCCGCCCACCTTGGCCTCCCATAGTGCTAGGATTACAGGCGTGAGCCACCACGCCCGGCCGAAAATATTATTCTATTACAAGAAGTTTACATGATGCTGGATTCAGAGCCAAGGGAATTGGTTGAATAGATGTTTTGTATTTTAAAACAAAATCCTTTCCAAAGCTATTTTTCTTGGACTAAAATAAAAATATAAAGCCAAAACTTTGTTGTTGTTGTTGTTGTTGTTGTTGTTGTGCAATGGAGTCTGAATCTGATTTGAATTAGAAAGATAAAGAAAGGCACATTTCTGAATGCCTTCAAAGAAGGATATGCCCCTCATCTTTGTGGAGAGTTTCAGGTGCCTTTCCTGGCAGTCCAGCTGGGTGACAGATCAGTGTATCCTTCCCCATGGAGAGAAGCTGCATAGCATCAAGGTCAAGATCATAGGCTCTAGTGTCAGACTGACATGCAGATTCCACTCCATGTGACCAAGTTACCTAACCTCTTTGTGCCTATGTTTCCTCACCTACAAAATCAGAGTCATTATGTTCCCCCCAAATTCATATGATGAAGCCCTACCTTCCAATGTGATGGTGTATGGAGATGGGGACTTTGTAAATAATTAGGTTTAGATGAGGTCCTGATGATTGGATTAGTGTCCTTATAGAGACACTAAGAGACATAAGAGAGCGAGCATGCAGTCCCCTACCCCGTCTCTCTGCCACGTGAGGACACATTAACAAAGTGGTTATCTGCAACCTAGGGAGAGAGGCCTCTCCAGAAATTGACTATGCTGACCTCCTGATTTTGGACTTCTAGCCTCCAGACTGTGAGAAAATAAATTGCTGTTATTTAAGCCACCTAGTCTATGGTATTTTGTTATGGCAGCCAGAACTAACTAAGACAATCTCCCTCTCTGAATGGTTATTAGCAATAAATGATATGACTCACGTCATTTAAAGCATTTAGTCTCATGCCTGACACATAATATGGTAAGTGCTTAGCAACTGTTAGCCATTGTTATTAGAAGGGTAGGGTTTAGGCTGGGCATGGTGGCTCATGCCTGTAATCCTAGCACTCAGGGAGGCTGACACAGGACAATTGCATGCGGCCAGGAGTTCAAGACCAGCCTGAGCAAGCAAAATGCCATCTCTACAAAAATATAAAAATTAGCCGGGCGAGGCTGGGCCTGGTGGCTCACGCCTGTAATCCTAGCTCTCTGGGAGGCCGAGACGGGTGGATTGCTCAAGGTCAGGAGTTCAAAACCAGCCTGAGCAAGAGCAAGACCTCGTCTCTACTATAAATAGAAAGAAATTAATTGGCCAACTAATACATATAGAAAAAATTAGCCGGGCATGGTGGCACATGCCTGTAGTCCCAGCTATTTGGGAGGCTGAGGTAGAATGATCGCTTGAGCCCAGGAGTTTGAGGTTGCTGTGAGCTAGGCTGACGCCACGGCACTCACTCTAGCCTGGGCAACAAGTGAGACTCTGTCTCAAAAAAAAAATTAGCCGGGCGTGGTGGTGTATGCCTGTAATCCCAGCTACTCAGGAGGCTGAGGCATGAGGATCGCTTGAGCCCAGGAGTTTTGAGGTTGCAGTGAGCTATGATGAAACCACTCTAGCCTGGGCAACAGAGTGAAACTCTGTCTCAAAAAAGAAAAAAAATGAAGAAGAAGAAGGGTGGGGTTTACTCAGAGTAAAATGCATGTGTTTGGTGAGGGCACCCTTCTACAGGTGAGTTCTGAAGACACACCACCCAACATGTTTCTGAAGACATTCAACATATTTCGTGGAGAATGCCAGCTTGTGCTGCCAGATAAAATGGAGTATTCTATCAGTACCCTGAGTCCAAGCGAGAGACCGTCGAGGTATCTCTGGTGAATGTAGAGGCCTAGGAATGTTACCTGGAACCACAAGTGCTCATGGAGCTGTCAGGTCAGTTCAGGTGCCTAGGGCCATCCCCTTCTTCAACGTCATCTCCTCCTAGAGGCCTTCCCTGACCACTGTATACAGAGCAGCAGTCCCTCCCCTCTCTCTCTCCCTTTTGTCCTGCTTTAGTTTTCTTCTAGCATGTTGACATCAGAAGCGTTTGTTGTACACTGCCTCCTTTACTAGAATGTAAGCTCCCTGAGGAAAGAGTGGATTCTTTTTCCACTTCAGTATCCTCAATATTTGACAATTGCTTGATACATTTGTTAAATGAGTGAATGAATTTACTACAGTGGTAAGAACATGAACTTTGGAATTAGCCTTCAAAATCCTGGCTCTATCACTTAGTGTGTGGGCAAGTTACTTACCTTGGTGAGCCTCAGTTTTCTCATCTGTAAAATGGAAATAGGATGAAATAACAAAACGTGTAGACAGTGTTTAGCACAGTGCCTTGTGTCTAGGAAACACTGAACAAATGGTGGCTATTTTTATTTTCTCTTTCTAACCCTGATGTGCAGGGAAGTGAAGGGTGATTTGTTTCCCAGAGGTATGGGAGATCTGCTTTTTTTTGAGAGCTGCGGCAGCTGCAATGAAGACGAGGACAGACCACAGAAACTGGGACAAGGGTATGGGGGAATAGTACTGATCCATGAGAGAGCAACAACCAGGAAAAAAAAAAAAATACTAGTATAGTATACTATCAGGTATATATATAATTATCAATCTAACTATACTTATATTATATGTCGCCACTGTCTTGATGAGGAGATAAGGGCTGTGAACTCACAATTTTTTTTAAAAAAAAAAGGAGGAGTGGAAAAATTCTGAGAAGACAAAATGTTCACACTCACAATAGATGTTATGACTTTGGTGAAACAAAGTTTCAATTAATCCGGAGTCCCTCTACCCCCATGGCTCACCCCTGCCTCCCATTTAGGCAGAAATCCTGTAGCAATTTCGCACTGTAATGGGGCGATTCAGCTAAAGCGCTCCAAGAGAGTAGTATTTTGCTGCTCCCCTGCCAAGCTCAAAGCTTGTTGTGGGAGTAAAAAAATAGACACAGTTGGTGCTTTTATTTGAGAAGAGGAAGGAAGGATGGGGAAGGAAGAAAAGGAGTAGATGTTTTGCTCAAATTTTTACAAAATGAAATGTTTTCCTCCCGTTGTTTGCTTTTCCCAACACCTTTCTCCTGAATCCCTAGTGAACTTAAAAATATTTTGCTTAAGGCTAGGTGCGGGAGTTCACGCCATGAGTCCTTGTACTTTTGGAGGCCGACAAGAGGATCACTTG